AGGAGGAGGAGGAGGAGGAGGAGAGGGGAGGAGGAGGAGGAGGAGGAGGAGGAGGAGGAGGAGGAGGAGGAGGAGGAGGAGGAGGAGGAGGAGGAGGAGGAGGAGGAGGAGGAGGGTGGAGGAGGAGGGTGGAGGGGGCGATGTTTTGGCTCCTGCTACTGCTCGCCAGCAGGATGCGCGAGGCAGTGCTGCTCCGGAGCGGGGCCCTCGCCCGACCGGGCAGGGCCTCGGGGCGCTGGCTTTTTTCCAGAGGGCGCTGCCTGCAGTGAGGGCCCAAAGGCCTGCCCAGAGGCCTGCCCCAGAGGCCTGCCCGGGGCGCTGGCTTTTTTCCAGAAGGCCTGCCCCAGAGGCACCCCAAAGGGGCCCAAAACGATCCAAGAGGGCCCCCAGACGGGCCCAAGACGGCCCAAGAGGCCCCAAAGATCGTCCCAAGACGGCTCCCCAGAGGCCCCCCAAAGGGGCCGAAAACGGTCCAAGAGAGCCCCCGGACGGCCCAATAGGGCCCCAAGCTGGCCCAAGAGAGCCCCCAGACGGCCCCAAGAGAGCCCCAAGAGGGCGACGGAGACTTTGGGGCGGGAAGGCTCGGTATCGGTTCACCGATCCCGATCCTTATCCCCGTCCCCTTCGAGGCACCCACCAAATTACCACCCCAGTGGGGGGTACGCCCCTCGAAGCCCGAAGGGAGCGACCTATATCCTCATCCAGGGGGGTAAATCGGCCAGAGGGGCCCAGGCCACGCTGCTGGGAATGGGAATCGGACAAACGGTACTCAAAGGTTGCAGTTTTTTTTCTGGACCCGTCTCCGCTGTGTTCCTGCTCCGTCGCCGTTCCTGCTGGTGGTGTTCCGGTTTCGAGTGCAGTGCCGTTTCGTCCCCGCTTCGCTGCACTGCTTTCAGCGGGCTCAAGGACCAGATTTCTGGCAACGGTGTGACACCGCTTTGCCGCCTCCAGGGCCCATCGGGTCCTCCTCCTTTCCCTCCCTCCCTCGCCTCCCTCCTCGCGCTGCGGAGCTGCGGGCACTGCCCTCCCTCCCTCCCTCCCTCCCCTCCCTCCTCCCCTCCCTCCCCTCCCTCCCCTCCCCTCCCCTCCCTCCCCTCCCCTTCCCTCCCCTCCCCTCCCATCGGCCCCTTTGTGCAGGAGCTGCGGGCACTGCGCTCGCGGAGGTCCGGGAGCAGCACCTGGCGTCGGGCTCTTCCCGACCGCCGCACCCCTGGAGGCCGGCGGGCCGTGCTTGCCGGGGTGGGGGGGTCGTCGTCGTCCTCCTCCTCGTCCTTGTTGCCCTCCTCGTCCGAAGGATTGCAAAATTAGCCTGGCGAAGGACCCAACCATATGCAGCTGCGAGTACCGCACGGATATGAGACGAAGGAGGGGGCACGCAAACTAGGCCTCTCTTCTCATAGGCACCGCGCCACTGCATGGACGAGGCACAGGGCAGCGCGGGCAGGAGGCAGCGCTCCTCCAGATTCGAGCTTGACGTCGCCACAATTGACGACAGCTACAGGAGGCTCATAACCCGCTCGGATGGACGAGCGTGCCCGCGCCAAGCGTGGAACCCAAATTCCAAGAGATTTCAGAAAGCCCCCCGAAAATCATGAAACACATTGCGTAGCGGGAGCGATGAAGCACGAGCCCCGAAGAGTTCAGCGCTACTGGCACGAGCACCGGAGGGTTCAGCGCCGAGTGTATTCCGCGCACGAATGGTGCTCTGGGAACAGGAAGAACACGAAGTGGCCTACAGTTGGCTCCGGACACTGAAAATGTAACCCGGGAGTGGTGGTCTGGGAACACGAAGAACACGAACTGCATGGACTCATAGAGAACAAAATTACAAGGTACGGGTGACGCACTTCATATACTGGGGACGCCCTGAGTTGGAAGCAGAAGGGTCAAACCTGATGCTCTGCCCGTGGATTTGGACCGTGAGATGGAGTGGCAGGGCCCTCAGAAGCGACTTCCACAGCCCATTCTCCACGGATTACCCCAACGGTTCCAGCCACCCGATAGCCACCCAGACGTGCCAACGCATGTGTCACCAGAGTCTCAAGCTCCCCCCGACCTTCGGTGGAGATCCCTATGGGGCCACGAAACGTGTGAGGGGTGTGCCGAAATGGGTGGTGGGGAGTGCCGAAATGGGTGGTGGGGAGGCATGCGAACCCTGCCACTGGGGCCTTCGGTGGAGCTCCCTATGGGGCCACGAAACGTGTGGGAAGAGGAGGGAGGAGGGAGGAGGAGGGAAGAGGAGGGAGGAGGGAGGAGGAGGAGGGAAGAGGAGGGAGGAGAGGGGTGTGCCGAAATAGGTGGTGGGGAGGCATGCGGACCCTGCCACTGGGGCCTTCGGTGGAGCTCCCTATGGGGCCACGGAACGTGTGAGGGGTGTGCCGAGATGGGTGGTGGGGAGGCATGCGAACCCTGCCACTGGGGCCTTCGGTGGAGCTCCCTATGGGGCCACGAAACGTGTGAGGGGTGTGCCGAGATGGGTGGTGGGGAGGCATGCGAACCCTGCCACTGGGGCCTTCGGTGGAGCTCCCTATGGGGCCACGAAACGTGTGAGGGGTGTGCCGAAATGGGTGGTGGGGAGGCATGCGAACCTGCCACTGGGGCCTTCGGTGGAGCTCCCTATGGGGCCACGAAACGTGTGAGGGGTGTGCCGAAATGGGTGGTGGGGAGGCATGCGGACCCTGCCACTGGGGCCTTCGGTGGAGCTCCCTATGGGGCCACGAAACGTGTGAGGGGTGTGCCGAAATGGGTGGTGGGGAGGCATGCGGACCCTGCCACTGGGGCCTTCGGTGGAGCTCCCTATGGGGCCACGAAACGTATGAGGGGTGTGCCGAAATGGGCGTGGGTGACGATGACGATGATGATGATGATGATGATGATGATGATGATGATGATAGTGATGGTGATGGTGATGATGATGATGATGATGATGGATGATGATTGATGATGATGATGTTGATGATGATGATGATGATGATGACGATTATGATGATGATGATGATGGTGGTGGTGGTGGTGGTGGTGGTGGTGATGATGGTGGTGATGATGATGATGATGACGATGACGATGATGATGATGCTGATGATGATGATGATGATGATGATGACGACGACGATGATGATGATGATGACGATGGGAAGAGGGAGGAGGGGGAGGAGGAGGAGGAGGACAGGAACGCGGGGCACCGTCTCTTCAAAACGAGGACCCAACATCACAGGATGGTTGGCAAAAACGAAGGATTGCAAACAAAAAACTGATTGCAAAAAAGACTAGGATTGCACAACAACAAAAAAAAAAACTTGTTTTGCAATCCTTTGCACGAAGGATTGCAAAAAAAATGTTTCGCATTCCTTTGCAATCCTGTTTTTTGCAATCCGTCGTCATCGTCCTCCTCCTCGTCCTTGTTGCCCTCCTCGTCCCCCTCCCCATGCCGGTGGCCTCGTAGCCCTAGGAGTGATTCTCGTACAGGACGCATGGGGCCTGGGCAGGGGCTCGCACGGCACACACTTGATGGGCACAGAGCGCCACGCGTTGTCTGTTTGCGCGCCGAGGCGCGCAAGGCGGCGCGGACCGCCGCTCGTCCTGCAGTGGGAACCCATGCCAAGAAACCCCCTGCTTGCCTCCAGGGTGCCCTGGGTTTCTTGGATTTCGATGGTTTTGATATGCAAAGCGTGACGCTCCAACACCAAAAATCACTGGAAGTCATGGGGTTCCAGGGTTGGGCTTCCTGTGGAAAGTTTCTTGTGGTCGAGCTCCTACTGTACGGGCAGCTGGGCCCCCCCTCCTTGGAAACAGCACATCTGCGGGTGTCCCACGAGCTGCCCTTGCCACTGGCAGGCGCACCACGGCAGCATCTCGTAGTCATCCTCGTCGCCTGTGCCCTCGCCACGTCGTCTCTCCCACCCTCGGTCCCCCCTGCTTTGGGCATCGCTCGGACCTGTGTTTTTTTTTCTTCGGCGAGGACCATCGAGGAGAATGTTGAACCATCTTGCGAAAAATGCACGCGCGAAATCGAAAAACGCACAGAGAATGGACGTCCGAGCGATGGCGAGTGCTCCCCCATGAGGCATTCTCCCAGGCTGCGATCCCTCCTGCGACAGTGCAGCTCCCCTGGGGAAGGGGGGGGGGGGGGGCGATCCGCCTGGAGGTCCTGAGCGTGGTGGGTGACCCCCCCCCGCGCCCCAACCTTTCCCTGAAGCAACCTAAGCGATCTTGGGGCCCGTTTGGCCATCTTGGAGCTACGCAAGCTTGCTGCAGCGCTCTTGAAACCAACCTCTGACAACTTCGGCGCTCTTGGGGCTCCCTCGGGCCGTGTTGGAAGCCCCGGGCACCAGGAAGCCCCAATGCGCGAGTTTGAGCGTCCCCTTTTCGCCGCATGGGTCGCAAGAGCACCCACGACGGCCCAAGGAGCCCCAAAGATTAGCCCGATATTGTCCGATAATCCCACCAGAGGGCCAAGGTGCCCGCCAGACGGCCCCAGGAGGAGGCCCCCAGCAGGCCTCAAGAAGCCCCAAGACGCATCCGAGTGAACAACAAAGGCCCCAAGGAGCCCTCCGAAAAGTCCCCCAAGAGCCCCAGAATGTCCTCAGCGCCTTTACGCTACCCTGGCGCAGTGGCGGGATGGGCCGAAGACCATTTTAGAGATTCGCCATCACGCTGAGGCCACCGGCGCCCCTGGGCCCCCCATCGCCTTGCCGCCTGTCTCGCGCCCTCGCGGTTCTCCTCGTCTCGGGTCGGCGGAACCAGCCGCAAGGCTTCCGCAACACAGCCAGGACGTTGAAGTAAGGGCCACGTTGTGTTCAGGCGGGGCTCTGGCTTCGAGTCGTTCCTTAGGCTCATGTCGAGGAGCCTTTTCGTGGCCAGGGCTCGCCGCGGCCCGAAAACGATCAGCGTTCCTTGTGGTAGCACGATGGCTGCATGCTATGTGTTTCTCATCGCAGTTTTGGATCGTGGAACGGCGCGTGTCCACTGCGAGTGCCGAGCCATTTTCGGCGAGGGCCGTAATGGCTACACCCTCCAGCTGGCACTTGTACTTGCTGTCTGCAGCCATTGCCCCCACTTGCCTGCTCGTGACCGCCCCGGAGGACTCGGTTGAGTTTTTCTTACTTCAGGGGTTCATCTGGGGTGTGGTGACATTCTTTTTCTACCACGCGCGCCGAGTGTCATGGATTTCCAACGGCCTGCCTGACGGCCCACTGGCTGTGCAGCCTTGGCAGGACGCTGCACCTTGCTGGTGTTACGAGGCCGCTTTCTGGACCCAGATACTGACCTATGTGCCGTCCCTGCTGAGGATGTTGTTTTTCACGTGCAGGAGTCGCGAGGCGTTCATTACCTCGTCAACGCTGTTTCTGTCTGAACATACGGAGAGCGTCTGGTTTGAGCGCATGTTGTTTGCACAGCTGTTCGGGTACATGATGAGGGACATGTTCATGCAGGGATTCTCGGCAGATCCGCTCTTGGCGATGCACCATCTTCTGGTGATTGTACTTACCCTTGCCCTCGGCTTCTACGACATACCTGGCGGGCGTATGTGCGCGACGCTGGGGTGCGTGATCGAGCTCGGCACCGCCGGCTATTGCCATTTCATTGTGTGGCGCATACCCAGCCTGTACAGGTATCTCATGAACATATCCAATGTTGTGTGGGTGGTTGGGGTCACGTGCATCGTCTACCTTGCCAAGGAACGGTCGAAGGTATTGTGGGGCTGCTGCGCCATAACAGTCGCGCTGGTCGTCGGAAGGACTGACATGATGCGGGTCGAGATCAGGAAGGAAGCCAAGCGCATCAAGTCCCGAAACGAAGCGGCCATGTGATGTTCTTGCCATTTTTCAAGTCTGCATTTTTCCACTCTGCACTCCCAAAGTGGTGTGACAGGAAAAAGGCACATCATCCGAATCACAATCATTATCTGGGCCCGTTTTGAGGGCCCCTTGAAAGCTTGCTGTATAGTGTTGGGCCAAGTGACGGTCTCCTGGGGGCCTCCCAGGCCATCACGAGGCGGTCGCGCAAGGTTTTAGAGAACCTCTCGAGCCATCCGGGACGATCCCAGTAATGTCTTGAGGAGGAGGACGAGGAGGAAGAGGAAGAGGAAGAGGAAGAGGAGGAGGGAAGAAGAATAAGAAGAAAAAGGAAAGACAAGAAGAAGAGGATGTTAGCCAGCGTGACCCCCAAACAGTGTGTTCCTAGCAAGCCATGTGGTACTATCTGTGTGGAGCCATTTATGTGGTCAATCTATTTGGACCTATATAAGTGGGGCAAGCTATGTGGTGCAAGTTCTGTTGTGCTATCTACGTTGTGCACTGTACGTTTTGCAATATATGATGTGCAGCCCCTGTCGTGCAATCTATGTGGTGCAACCCACGTGGTGCAATTTACCCTGCCGAACTTGAGGTTGTCAACTCCACTGCCCTTGCGCATTCATCCCACCCACCCACCCACCGGCAACTTGGTTTACAAAACCTATGCGGCGGCGATTGCGATGAGTGTTTGGTGTTGGCTGGTGCATCTCTGCGGCCGCGCCAGCCCGCGCATGCTCGCGCGCGCAGCGGCCAGCTAGTTAAGCGCGGCCGACGCGGCCGCGGTGGCGCTGACCGCTGGACACAACCAAGCGGGCACTTCAGTGCGTGTTGGCGAGTTGGGCGGGCGCGGTATCATGGACACGTCGACAATGGTAGACGTGGTAATTATAGTAGCGATGGTGGTGACGATGGTGACAACGACGACGGCAAGGCCACTGACGGTGCCGATGCTGATGCTGATCACGCTGGCAAAGACGGCATCGTCCTCGCGTCGGCGTTGAAGGTTCTGGAAGGAGTTCAGGATGCGCGCGCGGCCGACGCGCGAGAGTGGCTGCATGGCTCTATTTGACACGGATCGTGCCCCCCCGCAGCACGCGCGCAAGGGCGTTCGAATGATTTCGACATGCCGCGTGGGAGGCCCGTTTGACCGAATTTAAGGAAGATAAATTAAAACGCATGGCTTTCGTATGAAATCGCCAGAGCACGAGCGCAGGTTTTTGGGAAATTGATGTTGCCGAAAAATGTGTAGAATATGCTTTCGGGACACTCGAAGTTGAAATCCTTGCGAGACCTACGGTGTTCGAAGGATTTCGACATGCGCGCGCGACGACACGCGCGTGCGCATTTAGTCTTAGTTTCTTTGCAAGGGGCTTTCGCGACACCATTCGCGCAGGGGCGTTCGAACGATTTCAACATGCGCGCGCGGGGGGCCCGTTTGGTAGCAACACATGAACTTGTTGAAACACCAATGGTTTTCTCAGGAACTTGTTGAAACACCAATGGTTTTCTCAAGAATCCGCACGTGCGCGATCACAGGCTTATTGTTGCAAGTTCGTGTTGCGAAACCATGCGTTCGAATGGGTTCGGAATGCGGCGCGAAAGGCCACCTTGGCAGAATGCCATGAAACAGGTTGAGAAACTGCTGGTTTTCTTCAGAATTCGCAAGAGCGCGATGTTGCGAAACCAAATGTTGTTTTAGGGTTTCGGAAAAATGGTTTTGAAATCCTTGCGACACTTCAGGTTTTTGAAGGATGTCGGCATTCGCGCGCGACGACGCACGCGCGCACTTCGTCACATGTGTTGCAAAGGCTTCTCGCGACAGCACGCGGGCAAGGGCGTTCGAACGAGTTCGTCATGCGCGCGCTCGAAGCCCGCGTGGTATTTTTTTATGAGAATTTAAAAAAATCTACGGTTTTTGCTCAACAACAAAAAAAAAAAGTGCGCGCGCAAGTTCTGTTGGGGGGAATCCGTGTTGCCAAACCATGTTTTTCATATGTGTTTTGGACTTTTGGATTTGAAATCCGTACGAAGCCTCAGATGTCCCGTTTTGTGTAAGGGATGTTGTGGAACTGCTGATTTTTACGAGTGCGCGCGCATAGTATATGGTGCGTGGGATGGCGGGGGGTGTCGATACCAGCCTGGCTGGGATGGTAAGAAATTATATTTAGGATGGACGATGGAGCAGAATCGTATGCAAACTGCAGCATGAAAAGGGGAACGGATAACCCAGAGGGGGGAACCTCATTTTTTAAGAAAAGAACATCGTTTTTTTGTTAACGAACGAGTTGACACATTCGATGCCCTTGCAAGCACCCCACCCACCCACCCGCAACTTGGTTTTCAAAATCCATGCGGCCACAATTGCGATGAGTGCTCGGCGTTGGCTGGTGCATCTTCGCGGCCGCACAAGCCCGCGCATGCTCGCGCGCACGGCGGCCAGCTAGTTTGGCGCGGCAGTCGCGGCGCTGAACGCAAGACATTTCCCAACGGGCACATCAGTGCGAGTCGGTGACGTGGGCGGGCGCGGTTTCATGACGACGCCGACAATGACGGTAGACACGATTATGAGAGCAGCGATGATGATGACGATGGTGGCGATGACAACGGCAATGCCAATGACGGCGCCGATGTTGATCACGCCCGCCGATGACGATGACGACGTCCCAGCGTCGGCCATGCAATTTTTGAAGGAGTTCGACATGCGCGCGCAGCCGACGCGCGCGAGTGGCCGGCGTGGTATTTTTTGAAGCGGACCGTGCCCCCACAGCATGCGCGCATGGGCGTTCGAATGAGTTCGACATGCGGCGAGACAGACTCGTTTGGCAGAAGGTGATGAACACGTTGAAAAAAATGTGGTTTTCCAAAGATTCCGCAAGTCCTCGAGCGCGGTTGTTTTTTCGAAAACGGGTGTTTTTTTCATATACGTTCGAGACAGCCGGCTTTGATTTTTTTGCGAAACCGATGTTTGTTGGAAGATTCCGGCATGCGCGCGCGACGACGCGCGCGCGTGCGCATGTCGCCCCATATGTTGCAAAGGGTTCTTGCGACAGCACGCGCGCAAGGGCGTTCGAGCGATTTCAACATGCACGCGCGAGAGGCCCGTTTGGTAGAATCTTATGAACATTTTGAAAAGCCGATGGATCCATTAAGAATCCGCGAGAGCGCAGGCGCAAGTTGTGTTTGAAAACCCGTGTTGCAAAGCCATGTGCTTTTCATATGCTCGTGGTCCTCGATATTGAAATCCGTACGAAACCTTTTTGTTGGGAGATTTTGGCATGCGCACGCGACGACGCGCGCGGGCTCCATTTTGGCGCAAAGGACCTCCGAGAATTTATGATTTGTTTATAAACGAGTGTGAGCGCATAGATTTTTCTGCAGAGGATGAAAGGGGGAGGGGCCGAGCTCCGGCGTGACTGAGATGGTATGAATTCATGGGGGAAATAAACTAGGAGGCTGAATCATAAGTAAATTTCCATGCGCGGGGCCGGCTTGATAAGTCTGGGGGGGGTGATGGTGGTAGGATTTACTTGTTTTAGGAAGGAGAATATATGTGGTGCGCAATGTGTTGTGCAATTTATGTTGTGTACAATCAATGTGGGCGGCGACGACGCGGCGACGGCGGCACCATAACCACCAGACCGGCAGACATGCCCAGACGACGAGCGGCGACGAGGCGGCGACGATTGCCACATAGCCGCCAAACCGAAGACACGGCCCAGGCGACGGGCTGCGACGAGGCGGCGACGGGGCGGAGACGGCGGCCACATAGCTGCCAGAACGAAGAAACGGCCCAGTTCCTTAGAACAGAAATAAGAAATCCTAAGTGCAAGCACTGTTGGGGGAAATAGGAGAAGGATGAAAAAGAGGACAAGGAGGAGGAAGGAACAGAAAGAGGAGAAGCAGGAAGAGGAGTCTCAGGAGGCTGGGGGAGGAGGAGCAGGAGGATAATCAGAAAGAGGAGAAAAAGAAGGGGGCGGGTAGGAGAAGGGATGATGAGGAGGAGGAGGAGGAGAGAGTCGGGAGGAGTTGGTATACAGGAGATGACTGGGCGAATTAACAGGGGCAGGAGGAGGAGGTCATCGCGGCCAACGTCCTCATCCTTCCCCGAGGCGCGGGGATGACCTGGCACATGCCCACGAGGTGAGGTCTGATACCGCCCCAGATCGTGACACCCGGTCGTCCCCAGAGGCCCGCCGGATGCCCAAAAGGGACCTAAGACGTGCAAATATGTCCCGAACGCGTGCAACAGCATTGCTGATTTCAGGTAACATGTCAGTCAGATCGTTTGGGTTCGATGCCAATCTCGGTGGGCTCGATCCGATCCAGTTTCATTCTCCAATTACTTGCGGCAAGTTCCGCAACCGTGCCAGCCTAGCATTGTGGGTGGCAACTGTTGGAGAGTGGGAGAGCCGAGGTAAGGACGAGGGTGAGGATGATGATTTTCATGATGTTGGTGGTGATGATGATGGTGATGATGACGACGATGATGTCGGTGATAATGGTAATGCGGTAATGCGGATGACGATGATGGTGATGATGATGATGTTGATGATGATGGTGATGATGGTGATGGTGAGGGTGATGGTGATGGTGATGGAGTTGATGAGGATGTTTTTGATGATGAGGAGGAGGAGGAGGATGATGATGACGGTGATGATGACGATGGCGATGAGGGGGATGAGGATGAGGATGAGGATGGTGATGATGGTTGTGATGATCGTGATGCTAGTGATCGTGGTGGTGTTGCTGATTTTTTACGCTGACGATGACTATGGCGATGGCGATGGTGATGGCGATTACGATGATGATGGCGATGACGATGACCAGACGATGACGATGATGATGATGATGGTGATGATGACGCTGACGGTTGTGGTGATGATGATGGTGGTGGTGATGATGATGACGATGATGTTGATGATGATGGTGATGGTGATGGTGAAAGTGATGATGATGGTGACGGTGATGGTGATGATGGTGATGATGATAGTGATGGAGGTGATGGTGATAGTGGTGGTGATGGATGGTGATGGTGATGGTATAGTGATGATGGTGGTGATGATAATGGTATGGTGACGATGATGATAAAGATGATTATGATGATGATCAGGATGATCATGATGATCATGATAATTATGATAATGATGGTGATGGTGATGGTTACGGTGATGGTGATTGTGATGATAGTGTTGATGATGATGATAATGATGATGATGGTGGTGATGGTGATGGTGATGGTGATGGTGATGGTGATGACGGTCATGGCCATGGTGATGATGATGATGTTGATGATGATGGTGGTGGTGGTGAAGATGATGAGGAAGAGGAGGAGGAGTAATAGGAGGAGGAGGAGGAGGAGGAGGGGGACGGGGAGGAGTAAGAGGGAGACCGTCGCATGTGAAACCGTTCGTCTTCACTGTTTGAGGAGCTCTCATGGAACTCGTTTGGGCCGTCTCCAGGGCTGTCTTAGCCTCCTGTGAGGCAGTCTTGGAGGTGCCTTGGGGTCCTCTTGGGCCGTCTTGGGGGCTCGTGCGCCGTCTTGGGTCTCTCGTGGGCCGTCTTGGGGCCCTGGTGGCCGTATGGTGGGTGCCTGAGGGCCGTGGTGAGGCCGTCGCGGAGGCATGTTGGCCTCGGGAGCGCGCATCTGTTGTAGTGTGCAATGGGTTGTGAGCTGGGGAGCGCGAATTCGCCGTGTTGTAAGACGCATGATGGCCGAGAGAGTGCGAATCTGAAGCGTTTTGCGATGAGGGCTTCGAGAGAGGGGGCGGTGCATGCGGCGCAGCGTGGTGAAAGAGGGGTGGTGGGCATAGAAGATTACGGAACCCCACCAGACAGCACTCGGCTTTCTGGCACGCCTTAACGTGCCAGGGGGCACGGTGGCGGAGTCTGTCGATAAGTCGCGGCACGGCGTTTGCACAGCATCGTCGTTCATTTTGGCGCGACCGATTCGGTCCGATGTCGACTCTGTGCCAGTGGGTTCCTATTCGGAGCATGGGCCGATCCGATCCAATCCAGCGGTTCGACGTTGACTATTCTTGCAAGGGCCTCTTCTTGTCGACCCTTGAGGGCCAGGGGCGGAGCTCAACAGGACCGCGCAGTATCCCAGCACCCAGTGCTCGTTCTCGCGGCGCCGGCTCAAGCGCACCCTTGCCCAGATCAGCTCACTCTCGCCCGCTCACGCAGCTAGGCCGCTCCCGATGGCGAGCGCGGCCAGGCCATGCTGTCCCTTGTCGTCGTCACCCGTTGTCGTTCTCCTCCTCCTCCTCCTCCTCCTCCTCCTCCTCCTCCTCCTCCTCCTCCTCCTCCTCCCCCCTAGGTCATCCTCATCCTGATCCTCCATCCCCTTCTCTCATCAGCCCTCCGACCTCATCCTGCTTATGCTCCTCCTTATCCTCCCTCCTTCCTGCGCCTCCCTCTCCTCATTTCCTCCTCCTCCTCCTCCTCCTCCTCCTCCTCCTCCTCCTCCTCCTCATCATCATCATCGTCATCATCATCATCATCATCATCATCATCATCATCATCATCATCATCATCATCGTCATCGTCATCGTCATCGTCATCGCCATAATCAGCAGCAGCAGCATCATTATCATTCTACGTGGAGGCGGACGACGTGCCTGGCATCTCTGTCTCGCTGCTGGCCGCCAGCGGCGGCGCGGGCCTACTGGGGGCTGGCTTCCCTCGCGGCGACGCGGCTGTGGGCCCGGCGGCCTGCGCCACGAAGGGCGCGCCTGCTCGCGGGGGGCGGGCTGGGCGCTGGCGCTGCCTGGACCGGCTTCACGCGACCGGGTGACGCGGCGCTCCGCGATTCCGCCCTCGTCGTCGTGCTCCGCCGCCGGCTGCTGCTTGACCTGCTGGGAGCCCCGTCCACGTGCGCCTTCGAGTACTCCTGGAATGCGGCAGCAGGCGAGGAGGGTCGCCAAGGCGCGTGTGGCCGCCCCCTGGATGTGGCGGGCTGCCACGCGTTGTGCTGCCCGGTCGGGCCACATCGCATCCGGCTGCACAACGAGATCGCGCGGGCCCTCGCCGAGTGGATCTCGGCGCACGGAGGGTACGTCGACGTCGAGCGTTGCTTTCCTGAGCTCTACCGCACGCAGGACGACCAGACCATCGAGGAGGCGCGGTTGGGCCTTGACGCCCCGGCCCCGACATGGGTCGACGTCACGGTCCGTTCGGCCGGGGAGGGGCCGGCGGAGCGGTCGATCGGCCACGCCGCGGCCGACGCCGAGCGCCAGAAGTGAGGCCGCCATGGCGCCGCGGTCGTACCATTCGCCGTAGAGGTCGAAGGGCGCTTGGGCACGGCGGCGCAGCAGTTCACCGCGGAGGCCGCGGCCGCTGCGCGCCGCGTGGCGACGCTGCCCGGCGAGCCAGGCAGCCGGCAGGGCACCGACTACGCGAGGCAGCTCGCCGCGCGGGTGTCGGAGGCGCTGGTGGCGCGGCTGGCGGACCTTCTGCTGGCGGCGTCGCAAGGCGGTGGGCCGGGTCGTTGGCTGGGCATGCGGGCGCAGCGCGGCATGGTTGCTTGGCGGCAGACACAGAGAGATATGGCGCTTCAGGGGGATCGGCTATCCTCCTCCTCCTCTTCCTCCTCCTCCTCATCATCATCATCGTCATCGTCATCGTCATCGTCATCATCATCATCATCATCATCATCATCATCATCATCATCATCATCATCATCATCATCGTCATCGTCATCGTCATCATCATCATCATCATCATCATCATCATCATCATCATCCTCAGTCCCTCCTCCCCCTTTC